TCACCCCATTGCACCGTCCACCCATCCATCAGATCCAGAACCTCCAACACCACACAATTTATGATTCGTCAAGTTCGGCCTTCAGAGTGTCTTTTATCCTTCATTTTCTTCGCATTGCAGAATGTTATGTGAGCTGTAAACTTTATGAGTTCTAGATATTTATTAGGATATTCTCAATGAATATATGCTCTATTGTGCTTTTGCTGTGGCCATCTTGTATTTTAACATACAACCCATCATTTAATAGTTTTATTTTGTGGTTATCTAAGGTACAGTTTTTATCATCTCAGTGTAGTGATAAGTTGGGACTAAGTCTTGAATTGGGTTCCTTTGCTGCGGGAGTGATGATTTCGACGACTGATTTTTCCCAACACACGCTTGAGCAAGTAAGATCTATTTTATTTTCCTCTTTTTATAGATGTGTTGCTGATTGCTGGTCAGTTATGTTGCTTCTTTCCGCTTTAGGCTGTTAATGTTGTATGTATTGCTTCATTTGTGAAAATTTGTTAAGTTAGAACATGTTACTCCAATCAGCAGCCGTTCAACAAATGCTGTGTACTTGGTACTAATAAGCTATATGTTCCTAAAGTATAGACACTATGCTTTGCTTTTAAGATTTAAAAAAAGTTTTCCCCCATTGAAAAATATTCCACCCGACCCCCCCCCAAAAAAATAATAATAATAAACAAAACAAAACAAATAAGTAAAATAATAACTTGGAGGTTATGCAGATAAACCGCTTCCCTGAATATATTTTATATCACATAACACTAAGAACCTCGTGTGGTCCACAACCCCCTGCGCAATTTCAACTTTTCTCACTGGATCCCTACCTATAATTAGCCAAACGAACTATATGCCTTGACAAATTTGAGTTCATTTGCTCATTACAGGCACCCCACCCCCCCCCCCCCCCGCCCCTCCACCCCGCGCTGGGTAGTTGAGATTCCTTATAGAAAGCTTTTAGTTAATATGCATATGGCTAACACGTGGGTGTGGGTAGGTGCGCGGGTGAAGTGGTTTTGTCTTGTTACCTTTTTATTTTTTTTGCGACGTGATGGTGTGTGTGTTTTTTTTTTTTTTTTTTTTTTTTTTTGGGACGGTGATGGTGTGTGTTTTTTTTTTTTTTTTTTTTTATTTTTTTTCTTCTTTTCTCTTTCCTTTTTTTTTTTTTGGGCGCGGGGGAGGAAGGGGTCTTGTTGTTCCTTCGTTGATCAGAGCAAGTTTAAAAGTTCCATGCGTGGTTTGTGAGACACTTCAGATTCTATGGGATTATGGGAGATTAAAAAAGTTCGGATGTTATGTGCAAAGCCCTACAGAAATTCAGGGGAGTTTTGTGAATTTAACCCCAAAAATGAAAGAACTGCTATATTACTTATTTGATATGGATTCGGATCTTCTCCACTACCAAAAAAATAGTGGAGAGGAGAGACCACTACATAATCACATTAATTAGCTAGTCGGTGGTTGTGATTTTTTCTTTGAGTGCAAATTAGAAATGAGTGCAATACACGGGATATGGTGAGTGTTAGATTTAGATTGTATTATAACTGCCTATAAAATAATCAACGATTAATATTAAAAGTAGTGGTCTCTCCACTACTATTTTTTTGTAGTGGAGATGATCCAAATTCATTTGATCTCAGCTTTCTTTGGTAACTTTTCTCAAGCAGGGATGTGCCCTTATGAAGCCCATAGTGTCAACTGGGTAAGTAGTTCATCTAACACTTTAGAAAGAATCCAGAGAAAGAAATAATAAGGCAATGGATGATTAGAAGTGCTGATAGATTAAAACTGGAAAAAGCAGTCAAACCTAATTGTTTTCAAGTTTTTGTCAGTGTGTGTCTGTGTGCGCATGAGGTGCATGTGTGCGTTTATTCTGGGCTGCCAAGAGATAGACACGTGATGAGATCTATCCTGCTTGTCACGTTGGAGTAGATGGACATCACCACTCCTATCTCATGATAGCTTATTTTCGCTCAATGTTAGTAACTCATACCAATATCCCATATAAATATGTGGGTGTGATTGTCGGTATGTGTATGTATAGAAAATAATGCAGATAAGGTGGTGGCTCATTTTTCTGGATGAACTACCAAGAGATGCACATCTGGTGAGACCCGTCTGCTCACAATATCCTAGTGGATGGGTGCACCTCATCATTCTTTATCTCTCGGTAGCTCATTTTACAAAATGAGCTGCCACCATACAACCATCAAGCCTATAGGTGCACATCCGCATGGGTGGATTTTTTTCTCCTACTTTGTAACCCTCAAATTTGATGGAAAAGATAATGTTGACCATTAAGTTTGAAGGTCATAATTACCAGCCGGTATTATCCTTAGCATCTTTAAAGTCAGCCATACCGGATCATGGAGTGAAGAGGAATGAAACCAAAGATCACAATATCATTAGAGAATTGTTACGGTACAAAGCTTTTATACCTTTGTAGTACGAACTTTTTATTTATTAATTTTATAGCATGAAGCAAAATTCTTTTCATGCATAATAATTTAAACATGTTTCCTCATTACAGGTTTGTTCTTTCTGCAGATTGAACCTATTCGGAACTTCTTTGCTGCTCTTTTTCTTGCTAGTATTGGGATGCTAATTCATGTGCAATTCCTATGGAATCATGTGGATATTCTACTAGCAGCTGTAATCTTAGTGATCACTGTAAAGACACTAGTGATTGCAATTGTTGTCAAGGGATTTGGCTACACAAATAAGACGTCGCTTCTTGTAAGAATTGAATCTACTACTCAGCTTGGTAGTCATAATATTTGACTCTTGCATGCATTCTCATTCCATCAACATGACAATATACATGTGTAGGTTGGCATGTCACTGGCACAAATAGGGGAGTTTGCTTTTGTTCTTCTAAGTCGTGCATCAAACCTTCATCTGGTTCAGGTCAGTGCTGATCAGTTCACATCGAAAGTGGTGGCCAATTGATGGGCCCAGCATATATAATGTATTTCTATGTCAAGAACTTATGCATCATTTGCTTCCTTGGTAAAATCCTGGGTTTATAGGCTGTTCGGATCTAGAGATGAACTTGAAGCTCAGTTGCCACGCCAAACTTTCACAGAATTTCAAGCTGACTGAAATACTGAAGCTTTACTGTTATCTAGATTTCTCTCTTTTCTTCTATCTTTTGTTTTGTCACGTTCATGGGTTCTTTCAAGATGAACAACCGTTGTTCTGGGCATATTACAGGAATTGCTATCAAACATCTCCATGTCGTTGCTGAAATCCCCGAGAAAGAGAATTCAGCAAATACCTAATATTAGTTACCATTTACATTGTCTTCATTCAGTTTGGCCTTTAATGCTTTGTCTAATTGCTTTCTACAGGGAAAGCTATATCTTTTGCTTCTCGGAACAACTGCTCTCAGTTTGGTATGTACTGAAAGTTCTTATTATTTTTTAGTGGATTTGTACTTCATATATCTTCTATATTTCCCTTATGAACTTTGTGGATTGATAGTTATATGTAAGGGTAGTTCAGAAATTTTATCCAAAATGTTAACCCGTTAAAAACAATTTTCAGTAGTTCATGGTATTCTTTTGCAGTCTTGAGAGTTCGTCGCAGTCTTCTGTAATTAAAAAAAATTCATGGTAGTTTTCAGCAATTTACCATTTTCTAAACTCTCTGCTCTTGAATAGAAAATTCTAACTAGTCAGCTTTTGCTATTTGGCATATCATTATGTTGGAAGTCATGTACAAGGTAAATTCGCAGGTGACTACTCCACTGCTGTTCAGGTTGATACCTGCCGTTGTTCATCTTGGAATCTTATTAAGATGGTTCTCTTCAGACAGCAGTCAGGCCGAGGTAGCATTTTTCTTCTTGACTGTAAAAATCTCATTATGTTTTTAGCATTTTGTGATGTTTATCCCTTTGCATATATGATTTCAATCTGCAGATGGGGTGTAGAAGTGATATCCTTCGTTCAGAGAGTGGCAAACGCATAACCTTATTGGTCCACAGTGCTCGTAATTCATGAGACAAGTTTTTAATATAGTTCATGGCACAATCTTACGGCAATGAGCTTCGTAATACTCCTAAGCATTGGGAAGGAGTTCTTACTGAAATCTTGATGAGAAAATGAAGTACATACGTGCATTATGGTTTTTTCCCCTGGTAAATGTGAACATAATGCAAGGAGAGAGATTTTGTTGCTTGGGCTGTGGTACACATTCTCAATTTTGTACAAAAATTAACGTTTCTCTTTTGTTTCTCCTCCTTTTCTTCCCTTTGTAATGCTGTCTTTCAATGTATTTCATTTGTTGTATTGGTTTTGTCCAACCGTGAATCTCATATCGTTGGCATCCCAACCAATGTAGAAAATAACAGTTAAAAGTGTACGAGAGGTTCAGCTGAGGTGATGTCCACAGTCCTTACAAAGTGTAATTGAGGGTACTATTTCCATGTCCTACTTGTGAAGTAGCAGAAAAAAAATTTATAGGCTAATTGAGGGTACTATTTTTATTTGTCCATATTTGTTAGTTTGGTATATTTAAAAAATCCGGCGACAATAATGTATTTTATTAAGATTATGCTTCCCAATAAGCAGGAAAAATTATTATACCTACCTAACCTCTTAAAATTATTAAATCTATGCCCGAAATTATCAAAAAAAATGCATCCCCTCCCTCTCTCTCCTTCTCATCCTCGTCCTCCTCCTCCTCCTCTCTCATTCCCCTCTCCTCCCCTCCTCCGTCTCCCCTTCCCCCTCCAACATGATATCATGCTCGAGCAGACTTTGAAGGCCGTAGGCAATGTATGGTTCCTATCCAACATGGACTCACAAGGGGACATTGTATACCCGAATGACCCAAAAGCAGTGAATCTAAGTGGTCTTCTTGATGATACTTACAATATCTTCGTAGATAAGAACATGCTACTAGAAACCTCTCGGCACGTCTGCAAACAACAACCTTCTTGATGTTGGGGCTAGGGGTGCCAACCCGGGTATATCTCTAATGTTCTTGTTATTTGGGTGTACAATCTAAAATTATAGAAATGTGTTAAGAGCAGAATCCATAAATGGATGAGTTAACGCTACTATGAACCCAAATATAAGGATTCAACTTGCGTGTTAAAAATTCAAATTGATAAATATGATTTGCTGAACAAAATAATATTAGAAATAAAAAGAATCAAATGGTTTCGAAATGATTCACCATGCATCAAGTTATGAAAAGTTAAATTGATTTCAAATTCTGAGGCGATCAATTTTCAGGACGTTTGATGTATGGGTAAATCACATGGAAACCAATTTTTTTCAAATTCTGAGGCGATCAATTTTCAGGACGTTTGATGTATGGGTAAATCACATGGAAACCAATTTTTCTTTCCTAGTCTATGTTTAGTAGATCATATCTATTAGTGTAAATTATGAGTTCAAAATCTTCCTATGTTATGAAATAATTACGAGTCTATAATGAGAAAATCAGCTTTTGTGGCTCAGCTATAGGAGGTATGGATCAAGCAATGACTAGCATTAGTGTTCATTATGAACCATGATTGACATGCTTTATGAAGAAATCACTGAAAAAGCTCAATGGCTTTTGTAGAAGTATCTTAACGACAATTCTCAAATGAACGGGAACCACTGTATATTTAGGCAATGCTTATGTATACCTTGGAGGGGGAAGGGGAGGCGGAGGAGGGGAGGAGAGGGGAATGGGAGAGGAGGAGGACGACGATGACGAGGAGGAGGAGGAGGAGGAGGAGAGGGAGAGGGAGGGGATGTATTTTTTTTATAATTTTGGGCATAGATTTAATAATTTTGAGAGGTTAGGGAGGTAGAATAAAATTCCATGCCGGAATTTCAAGGAAAAGGGTCTTATTGGTAAGTAGGGCCTTAAAAAAATACCTTGTTGTCGCCGGATTTTATAAATATACCAAACTGGTAAACATGATCGAATAAAAATACCAATTTGGTAATTTAACCAAAATTTATATATGACAAACTCATGTGATTGATATATAATATAGATTGGTTTTCTATTTTTATATGCTACTTGATTAGGAGTACAAATCTTGTTACAACACACTGCATACAAATGGGTTGAGTTACTCATGGAGAAGTAGGGAAATAAATTGGAGATTTTCCTTAGAAATTCGATTCGACAAAGGAACCCACTGTCCTATTAGACAGGTTCTAGTCTCATCAAAACCCACAAAATCCTAGTAAAAAGGTTGGGTTAATTTTACAAACTCCCTGAACACAGG